GCCGAGAGGCTGTTGAACATAGGAGCTCCTGATGCCCGTCATGTAGACCTGGCTTGTGCCGGATTTCCCTGGGTGGCACCCCAGTGAGCTTACATGGCCAGGTCAGTGGCACTGGCCTGCGGTCTGAGAGGTTTGGGGACTGCGCTGGCGAGGATTCACGTGGTAGTCGGCGGCGGTACTGCAGCAGCACGTGGTTCTGGTGCTTGTTGATGGGGGCGCTCCCTAAAGGTTGGAGGATCGTGAAGAGAGCTGGAAGGCAGAAGTGCCTGAGGGATCGAGCACGGAAGGACCCTGGGAGGGACTGTATGCTTGGGGCTGTGCCAACTAAGTGGCTAGATGCCCCACCAGCCTGGGGAAAGCTAAAACCATGGGAGACCATAGGACTCATAGATATTTGAATACAAGGTACCCAGAGCAGCTGCCCAGACCTATAATCTAGGTAGAGAAGGAAGGGATGATGGCCTAAGAACATTGCTTCTTTTACAAAAAGCAAGGAGAGAAAAGCTGTTGACAATCATACTGTCGATTTAACGCTGAAAAAGCTTTTGACAGGGTAGACTGGGGGTTCATTATAAACACGCTAGAGATCTTAGGAATAAGGACTAGGATGTTAAAGTGGATAAAGAAGTTTTATAATAGTCCATCAGCAATGGTTAAGGTAAATGGATCCCTTTCAGGGTTTTTTTTAAAATATATAATGGCACTAGATAGGGATGCCCATTATCCCCATTGCTATTTGTTATATCCCTGGAACCTCTGCTGGTGACAGTAAGAAAGAGTAGATGGTAGAGGAATTAAAATAGGAGAGGTGGGTCACAAGGTGGCAGCATATGCAGATGACATGCTGTTTTTTATTGTGAACCCCAGATTAATGCTATCTAATCTAATGGATTTATTAAAACTGTATGGTGAGCTCTCAAATTTAAAAATAAACCCTACAAAAATCAGAGATTTTGAATGTTAACATTTCAAATAAGGAGAAGCAGATACTACAAAAAGACTTTCCATTTACATGGAGGGAGAAGGAATTAGGTTATCTGGAAATAAAGTTAACCACCTCAATAAAAAATATATACCAGGTAAATTATATTTAATTCTCCTGGATCAGGTGTATAAATCTGGTTAAGATGGTGATAGTCACAAAAATAAATTCCATATGCTCCCAGTTCATATACCAGGATCCTTTTTTGTGATAATAAAAAACATTGATACTTAAATATATATGGGCTAATAAGAAACCGAGAATCAAATGAAGTTTTGTGTAATAACAAAGGGAAAGGGGGATTAAATTTGCCCAATATTAGGAATTATTATACTGCATTGATGCTGTCACGAGTCGTAGATTGGACATTCAATTCACAGGAGAAAAGTTGGGTTAAAATGGAAGGTATTTTAAATAACACAAATCTTGAGAAAATTATTTGGATACCACGAAAGTTTCACACTACGGATGAGATTAGCAGCAAGTTGACACGGGAGGTTTTGAGAGTTTGGGATGGAGTACACAAGTATATGGGGTGGAAGTATAATTCATTGTTGATTCCCCTAGTGGGTACAGAGTTTTTCCTACAAGGGAATGAAATATTTTGGATTATAAATTACAAGTTACAAGAGATATATAGATATTTAAGGGATATAGTAAAGAGATATAGTCACTGATCAGTGTGAACCGATTTTTACTGCTCACTGTATCAGTGTCACTGGCGACTTCCGATAGTGTTAGCGCCCCTCCCAGATAGCGCCAGTTTGCACGCTAATACACCAGTAATCCCATTTAACCCCTTAATCTCTCCCCCCCCCAGTTAACCCCTTCACTGCCCTGTCACCAGTGTCACTGATCAGTGAACCGATTTTTACTGATCACTGTATCAGTGTCGCTAGCGACTTCCGATAGTGTTAGCGCCCCTCCCAGATAGCCCGCCAGTACACCAGTAATCCCGTTTAACCCCTTGATCGCCCTCCCCCCCCAGTTAACCCCTTCACTGCCCTGTCACCAGTGTCATTGATTACAGTGAACAGATTTTTACTGATCACTGTATTAGTGTCACTGTTGACTTTCGATAGTGTTAGCGCCCCTCCCAGATAGCGCCAGTTTGCCCGCTAATGCACGGGATTTTTTTTTTACCAAAAACATGTAGCAGAATACATTTTGGCTTAAATTTATGACTAACTTTGAGTTTACGATATATTTTTTATAGCTGAAAGTAGAAAATATTGTTTTTTTTCAAAATTTTCGTGTTTTTTTTTGTTTATAGCGCAAAAAATAAAAAGCGCACAGGTGATAAAATACCACCAAAAGAAAGCTCTATTTGTGTGAAAAAAGGACGTAAATTTTGTTTGGGTACAGCATTGCATGACCGCACAGTTATCATTTGAATTATTGCAGCGCTGTATAGCAAAAAAAACACGCATAAATTACAATATCTATACCATAGTTTGTAGATGCTATAACTTTCACACAAAGCAATCAATATACACTTATTGGGATTTTTTTTACCAAAAACATGTAGCAGAATACATTTTGGCTTAAATTTATGACTAACTTTGAGTTTTTATGATATATTTTTTATAGCTGAAAGTAGAAAATTATGGTTTTTTTTCAAAATGTTTTATGTTTTTTTGTTTATAGCGCAAAAAATAAAAAGCGCACAGGTGATAAAATATCACCAAAAGAAAGCTCTATTTGTGTGAAAAAAAGGACGTAAATTTTGTTTGGGTACAGCATTGCATGACCGCGTAATTATCATTTGAATTAGTGCAGCGCCAAACAGCAAAAAAAGGCCTGGTCATTAAGGGAGTAAATCCTCAGGAGCTCAAGTGGTTAAAAGACGTGAAAAAAAAAATTAAATCTCTTCATTTTCGAAGAAATTGTAACAAAAATTACAAATTCAAAAAACTTGTCATGCCTCTTACAAATACCTCAGACTGTCTATGTTCCAAAATGGGGTAATTTGATTGATATTTGTTTTGTCATGGTATTTTTGGGCCTCAAGAAATAAGATAGAAATAATAAAAATGTCTTTTGGGCACAGTTGCATGACTGCACAATTGATGTTCAATGCGTGACAGTGCTGAAAGCTGAAAATTGGCCTGGGCAGGAAGGGGGTAAAATGCTTGATATTGAAGTGGTTAAACATATGTTTCCACTTTGATAACAAAATTCATTGGAGTCATATTCAATAAAAAGATTCTGATATCTCATGTATAAAATTTAAAGAATCTAATAACAAATATAAATATGAAAATAAAGAAACCCTAACTTTAAAAAAAAAAAAATCTATTCATGTATGGAACTTTGCCCTCTCATTTAACATAGACTATTTTAATCCTTATGCTGCCAGCATTGGTAAATGGATAGAAAAGTATATCATATTTATAGTACTTGTTTTAAACTTTTTTTCACATTTTTTTCAGTTAATTCCTGTTTTTTGGGTCTAGGCAAATAATGTCATACATCCCAGTAGTCTTCAGGAGGGCGGGAGGGTTTACGTAGCTAAGCAACTCCAACTGCATGAATGCCTGAACAAAGGGCAGATGGATTCCAGGAAGTAAATACAACATGAATCATCTGCCCTTACTTCAGATTGCCACAGCCAGATATACTGGGGGGGGGGGGCATTTTTCAAAGTGATTTTTCAGCAGAATAAAGCATTAAAACATGGATAGATGGGTGAGTTTGCATTGAATATTAAAAATGAATGAAATAAAATTATTGGTTTGTTGTTCTCAGATGCAATGCAGTTCTGCTTTAAGTAGTGGATGTTATATATGATTTTATCCTGCACTATGTTTTAGATTTTTTAGATTTTTTGCTGAACACTGTGATATGCTCCTTAGATATCAAGTAAATTAAATATATGAAGTGCAGTGCTATTTACAATGATGTACTACAATACACCTACCACTCTAACCAAAAACCACAATAGTGCTATATGTCTTCACCCAATTATTCATATATTCGTGCTCTACTCGGAATGCATTAAAGTGTTACTAAACCCACAACAGTAAAATCAGTCTGTATATGCAGTAAAGCATACTTGTTATACACACTGTGGAACCTAAGGGGTTAATCCTCAGCACTGTGTAAAAATGCTGTTTGATCCTGACTTCTCTGATCCTCCTCATTTTCCAGTGTCTACCTCTTAACTCCTGAAAAGACATATCATGTGGAGACACTGCACATGCCCAGTTTGGTGTGTATTGCTAGACAGGTTTTTTTTTTTCTTGGGAGAGTGCATGTGATTAGCACAGGGCCAATCAGCACTGTCCAGACAGAGGTCAGGAGTTCTATATCCTCTTAGAGAAAACTCCTCCTACAAGCTTTAATTAGTGCTCGGCTGGACACTGATAGAAGTCCAAAGACTGCTCTAACTGCTGATGAGAAAAGGAATTTAAAAGTTTATATTTAGTAAAATATTTGCATTTCCATGTTCTGTGTACTGTTGGAGACCAGATATAGTAAATGCAGGATCCTGAGTTTAGTAACACTAACATGTGAGAACAGTGATCACTGATTGATTGCATTTCATTTAATAAATGTGCATCTGGAAGTGGGTGGTAGGTAGGAGTGTGAATGATGCAGGGTGTGTGCTAATAAGGTCAGTTGGTCAACTCCTTCCTGTATCATGACCTAAAGTTTCTCCAGGAGGTAAGGCAGAAGTAATGGAGAAGATTTTTTTATACAGCCATCTGGACAGTGAGGTAAGGGCGTGTAGAAGAAATGGAAAGCTTTTGAATTTTTGTAACAGAAGTAAATTAATGCTATATTGGTACATAGGGGAGCTGGAAATCAGAAAAAAGTGAACAGAGGTGAACGTATCCTTTAAGTATTTTGTGACCCTGTATCAAACCAAAAAACTACCATATTTTTCACTCCATAAGACTCACGTTTTCCCCCCCAAAAAGGGGGGGAAATGTCAGTGAGTCTTATGGAGCGAATATGGAGCAGCCGATCGGGTATTCCCACCGCCGCCGCCGTGTCAGAATATCGGGCCGGCCGCTTCGTCTCTTCTCTGCAGTAGAACCTTACTTGTTCCTCAGTCCAGCGCTGTACAGTCTTCCCGTGCCGGTATCTTTAGTGTGGGCTCTCGGCTGTGACAGCCGGGTGCGCAGTGCATATGCGCGAGAAGCGCTGTGCTTTGTGAATGGTACGGCATCTTCTGGGACTTGTCAAGTGTCCCAGAAGACACCGTACCATTCACAAAGCGCAGCGCTTCTCGCGCATGCGCACTGGGCACCTGGCTATCAGCTGGGTGCCCACACTAAAGGTAGGACAACTGTCAAATTCAGGTACCCACTCCCCCTCCCTCCCCAAAGGTCTGCAGTCTCTTAGTCATCCTCTGTACTGTCTTCAATCTCTAGTCATCCCCTGTACGGTCTGCAGTCTCTGGTCATTCCCCTGTACTGTCTCCATTTTCTGGTCATCTCCTGTACTGTCCACAGTCTCTGGTCATCTCCTTTACTGTGTCCGCAGTCTCTGGTCATCTCCTGTACTATGTCCGCAGTCTCTGGTCATCCCCTATACTGTCCGCAGTCTCTGGTCATCCACTGTACTCTCCGCAGTCTCTGGTCATCCCTTGTACTCTCTGCAGTCTCTGGTCATCTCCTGTACTTTCCGCAGTCTCTTGGTCATCCCCTGTGCTGTCCACAGTCTCTGGTCATCTCCTGTAGTATGTCCGCAGTCTCTTGGTCATCCCCTGTACTGTGTCCGCAGTCTCTTGGTCATCCCTTATACTATCCGCAGTCTCTGGTCATCCCCTGTACTGTTAGCAGTCTCTTGGTCATCCCCTGTACTGTCTGCAGTCTCTGGTCATCCCCTGTACTGTGTCCGCAGTCTCTTGGTCATCTCCTGTACTGTGTCCGCAGTCTCTGGTCATCTCCTGTATACTGTCCGCAGTCTCAGGTCATCTCCTGTACTGTGTCCGCAGTCTCGGGTCATCTCCTGTACTGTGTCTGCAGTCTCGGGTCATCTCCTGTACTGTGTCTGCAGTCTCGGGTCATCTCCTGTAGTATGTCCGCAGTCTTTGGTCATCTCCTGTACTGTGTCCGCAGTCTCTGGTCATCTCCTGTACTATGACCGCAGTCTCTGGTCATCTCCTGTACTATGACCACAGTCTCTGGTCATCTCCTGTACTATGTCCGCAGTCCCTGGTCATCTCCTGTACTGTGTCTGCAGTCTCTGGTCATCTCCTGTACTGTGTCCGCAGTGTCTGGTCATCTCCTGTACTATGACCACAGTCCCTGGTCATCTCCTGTACTATGTCCGCAGTCTCTGGTCATCTCCTGTACTGTGTACGCAGTCTCTGGTCATCTCCTGTAGTACGTCCGCAGTCTCTGGTCATCTCCTGTAGTACGTCCGCAGTCTCTGATCATCTACGGTAGTATGTTCACAGTCTCTGGTCATCTCCTGTACTATGTTTGCAGTCTCTGGTCATCTCCTGTACTGTGTATGCAGTCTCTGGTCATCTCCCGTAGTATGTAAGCAGTCTCTAGTCATCTCCGGTAGTATGTCCGCAGTCTCTGGTCATCTCCTGTACTATGTTTGCACTCTCTGGTCATTTCCTGTACTGTGTCTGCAGTCCATTGGTTCAGAATATTTTTTTTCTTGTTTTCCGCCTCTAAAACCTAGGTGCGTCTTATGGTCAGGTGCGTCTTATGGAGCAAAAAATACGGTACTTTAGGAATTTTGTCAAAGGGTACACTTCGGTTCATTTTTTACCAAATCAAATCAAATCAAATTTAGTATACATTTGTGCTGTGGTTTTATCCTCCATCCCCTTTGTCACTACTGAGTCCTATAGTGACTCTATAGAAAGGAGCCACAGTAGGTGGCTGAAGACAAAGGCCTTCTAACACTCAGAAGTGTCAAATGTTGAAAAGACTAATAAATGCTGTAGTGCTGGGACTGAAGCGAGGTACTACACATGGAATACCAAAGAGGTAAGTATACTACCTCTTCTGTTGTAGGAAACTTGCATTTTGACTTGTTATTAAACTTGACATGGTCTTTTTCTGGTCACAGCCTACTTGACAAAAGTAGGATAGCTAACTACAGTATGTAGATAATGTGTTATAGCACTTTTACAACTTTTAAGTTGAGGCCTACAGACTGTCTCAATGTGCTTTCCAAAGTAAACACATTTCTGCAATATTAAGCCATTTAAGGCTAAATATACAGTACAGATTAAAGTTTGCCATGGTATTACAACTAAATTAAATATTCTTATTTCATATAATCTTTTGCATCCTTTAAAATGAATCACTTGATATGTGCTTTTCTTTTGAAAATGATGTTTGTTTTTCATTCTTAGACCATAGAGTTTGTCACTAAACACATTTTAAACAATTATTCCAGCATGTCAATTATTTAGCATTCAGCCAGCGTCCATTAATCTGACAAATACAAATGAAACGATCACATTATATTCTGGAAACAGAAAAAGAGTGAGGGATATGATAGATGAATGTATGTATTTGTAAAATGATTTGAATTCCTTAATAAGTAAAGTTAATGTTGTCATTAGTGGCAGTTCTCAGCAAAACTTTTATCTTCCTTCTCTACAGATAAGCACTCTTTAGGGAGATGACTATTGCTGCAGTTGTATTGTGCTTTAAGTTAATGAGATGTGAGCTCTATTTGTTAGTGTTTTAGGGTAATTAAGATTATAATTCACTTGGAAACTGTCTTGCTTTCAAAATATTCTCTGTTTGATGGGACTTTGCATTTACTTTAAAATATTATTTTATTCTAAATAGGGATAGGGTTCACCTTTGGGAGAGCAAAACACTAGGAATATAGAAAGATTTGACATTCAATGTAATTATTATTACAATTTGTATCTGTTACAAATTAGAAATTCATGCATATAAATTGAATATATAGTGATATATGCTGTTCGTTGCCAAATATCCCTGCAGAGTATTTAAAAGTCAGTTTTGTTCAAAAGGAAGAAAACATATATAATATTTGTTGATAAAAACACATATACAGACATAGCTATTTGTTAACAGGAATTCCTATGGTGATGTCAACACCTCTCTTTAGGATTGTATAATTCCACAACAGGATTTTACTACAATATAAAATGTTTCACTTTTATTGGACCAGCTGCCTTGCACAGCTCAGATTATATGTTGATCCTTAAAATGTGCTGTAAAGTATTTTGATCCGTGATTAATTCTGTAATGTGCTATTCATGTATATACTGTTTATCTCTTATGTTTATGTTGCTTTATGATTTAATACTGCTGTATACATTTTCTATGTATTACACACTGCATTTTTTAGTATTTAGTGCCTATGCATGTCTACCTAAGGCAGAGAACAATTTTAAATACAGACCCTTCAATATTTTCAAACTTATGAGATAGACTCAACTCTAATTTTTCCTTTGTTAAAGATACTTTTAAAAACAGATAAAGAAATGATGGTTTATGAGTGTTTGCAATGCTAAAACACCATAACCCTACAGAAATAGTTTTGAAGAGTATAGGATGTTAGCTGCTTTAGCCCCTTGTAATCTCACATCATATGATGCAGTTGCTGATGAAAACTGCTGGCAGAAGATAGCCCTGGGTGCTGGGCATTGAAGTATGTTTTGAGTGCCTCACTTAGGTAGCCACCCCCACTGCTGCTTCTCCTTTCACTGAATGGAGGCTCCAAGCCATACTGTCCAAGAGACAGTGTGCTGCCAGCAGAAAGGAGGTTAACAAGTTCCTCTGCAGTATGTCCTGCAGGTGTTTCATCTTTTTTTCTTCTGTGCTGCTGGATGAGCTCTGAAACTCTCCTTGATGTCATGGATCCTAGGGTCCATTCTCAGGATCAGGAGCATAAATGAACCCATCTGGCAAAATTTACTGGAGAGTGAGGAACCTAAGTTCTCAGGATTACTAAGTATGATATTGTTCTTAATTATCCCCCTCCCCCCCCCCAGCCATGTACAACTCTGATGATTCGACAGAGATGAAACTGACCCCTGTAATCCCATGCCCTCATCTTTCTCAGTGCCCCACAACAAACATTCTGCTCCTCCTCATGCCCCTCCTGTGGCTGCTGTCAACTAACAGGGATGGTTTCTGGATTTAGTGGGCCCTGAGACACCAGAAAGTCCTTCTCTTCCTCCTGCTGCTTTGCTTAGAGTACCCTGTCTATAATTCCATTCATTGTGTGTTCCAAGGGAAACACCATAGGAATGGTACTGCTAATTCCCACATTAGCCCAGCTCACAGTTCTTGTCGCCTCCTCAAATGGCAATAGTGCTGTGCATACATTCTGTGTGTTTGAACCACTGACATGGAGAAGAAAACCCTAGAAACCTTGAGCATATCCCCATGTCATAATTGCACAGGTACTAATTTATAGCCCATTAATGTGTATGCAGCTACTGCAGCATAAGCAAACTAGAATTCCTCTGAGTGGGCTTTTCACATATTAGGTAGTTTGCAGGCAGATGGAGTTCCTAGCAAATTCTACCCTGCTCAACACTTCCTGGTATGACCACCAAAAATGACTACACATTCCTCTGATCTGCCTTAGAAGATCCTGCAGGGAACCTAACTAGGAATCACTGCACCACCAGGTGGAGGAGGTATGCCAGGCAAGGTGTGTCTATACGGTCATGGCCACAAATATTGGCATCCCTGCAATTCTGTCAGATAATATACCACTTTGCCCCATAAATTGTTGCAATTACAAATGTTTAAGCATTCTCATGTTTTGTTTGTATTGTTATGACACAAAAAAGTGGAGAAGCAAAAAACCAAATCTGACACATTCCATCCAAAACTCCCAAACTGGACTTTACAAAATTATTGGCACCCTTGATTTAATATTTGGTAGCACACCCCTCGGAAAAAATAACTGAAATGAATCGCTTCCTGTAACCATCAATTAATTTCTTACACCTCTCTACTGCAATTTTGGACCACTCTTCTTTAGCCAACTGCTCAGGGTCTCTCAGTTTAGAAGGCTCCCTTTTCCCAGCTGCTTTTTTGAGATCTCTCCACTGGTGCTCTATGGGATTGAGATCTGGACTCATTGCTGGCCAGTTCAGTATTCTGCAGCGCTTTAAACCATTTCTAGGTGCTTTTTGATGTGTGCTTTAGATCATTGTCTTGCTGTAAGACCCATGACCTCTGACGGAGACCAAACTTTTTGACACTGGACTCTACATTGTATGCCAGAATTCTTTGGCAGTCTTCAGATTTCATAAAGCCATGCACTCGGTCAAGACATCCAGTGTCTGAAGCAGCAAAGCAACTCCAAAACATTAGTGAACCTCCACCATGTTTGACTGTAGGGACTGTATTCTTGTCTTTAACCGTTTCAATACCGTGCAATTTTACACCTTCCTGCCCAGGCCATTTTTCAGGTTTCAGCGCTCTCACACTTTGAATGACAATTGCGCGGTCATACAACATTGTACCCAAACAAAAAATTTTATCATTTTCTTCACACAACTAGAGCTTTCTTTTGGTGGTATTTAATCACCGCTGGAGTTTTTATTTTTTGCTAAATTAACAAAAAAAGACCAAAAATTTTGAAAAAAAAAACACATTTTTCTTTGTTTCTGTTATAAAAGTTTACAAATAAATAATTGTTCTTCATAAATTTAGGCCTAGATGTATTCTGCTACATGTCTTTGGTGAAAATAACCCAAGGATGTATTTTTTAGTTTGTAGGAAAGTTATAGAGTTCACAAACTATGGTATAGATCTGAATATTGATCAATCCTGAAGTACTGACAGCCAATCTAATATCTTGAGGTCCAAGAATGTCAGAACAGTACAAATATCCCCCAAATGACCCCTTTTTGCAGA